CCCTGTGGAGAACTGGCACTCTGGGAATTAAGCTAGAACCTTGCAGCTAAATGGTGTTTTGTGCCCCAGTGAACTCTGACCCGGAATCTCATTTTCTCATGTTCTGCCCTGTTGGGACGTCAAGGCCAGGCTCAGAGCGGCCCCTTTAAGAGCAAGTGCCCAGGTCCCAGACTCTGTTGTGGAATGCCAGCAGCCTCCCTGCAGACAGACATCACTGCGCTGTCGCTGTCGTCTGTCCCATCTCAGTGAGGGTTAACAACAATTGAGCTTGTTGTCTGGAACTGGTTCAGACTGGTTTTCTGGAAAGTGCTTTGTCTCTCAAACTGAATCCTGGGAAGGGTCATGTGGAGCCCAGTGATGTCATGGGATCAAAAACTGACTCAGCTGTTATTTCTTTTCTTTCTTTAAATCAAGATATGTGTGTGCTGCAGGTAGAGGGCACTGGCATGGTAGTGGGCCAGGCCTTACCTCACTCAAAGTTTACCTTGCCAGCGGTCAAAGGGTTAAATGTGACTCTCTCCCCCCAACCCACTCCTCACCCCTCTGAGGTCAGCCACAGGGAGGAAGCAGCCCCTTACTGAAGGAGAGGTGAAGGATCGACCCGAGTCAGTGCAGTTGCGGGGCCCAGGGAGTGCCCTGGGACAGTGTGGTCCCCCTTCCTGGATTCAACGCCTCCAATCCAGTGCAGCCACTCAGAATCCTACGGGCAGGGAGTTCAGATCTAGAACCGTTTTGCTCTATTTGCTTTTGAGTCTGGGGCGCAGAGAATTCCTTCTGTCTCACAAGCAGCCCCTCCCATTGTTCCCGCCCAGGTCCCCACTGGCCTCAGCGCCCCAGATGTTCTGCTGCTCCTGCCCCAGCCTTCCCCAAGACTCTGAAGACATGACATGGGCACACTTTGTGGGCCCCAGAATGGTTGTATCTATTGCCATCATCACATGGCAAGGAAAACACTCCCAGCTGACTCCCTGGGAAGTTTCTAAGAAGGTAGCAGCCTCATTGTGCCATGTTAAAATGTGTTTTCTCCTTCCCCCAAAGTTCAGAATGACTGAAGAAGCATGGAGTCAGAAATGAGCACTTGAATGGGACCCGGTGGAGGATGATGTGGACAGCAAGAAAATAAAAATGGAGAGAGGATTGTTGGCTTCAGATTTAAACACTGATGCGGACATGAGGGCGATGCCTGAGCCGGGAGCGGGCCCAGCCCAGGGACTGCTGAGGGGGCCTGAGGTGATGGCCATAGGCAGAGGCGAAGGGCAGGCAAGCAATGGGCCTGTGAACATGCGCACCACACACAGGTAAGAGGGAGGGGCCTGGAACAGGTGCCAGGCCTGGGCCTGAGAAGGTGGGGCGAGGCTGCCCCTTAGGCCTGTAAGAAGCAGCTTTTGGTGGGTTACTGTGGAGATGGCCATGGGCTCCTGCCCTGGCATCACTGTGCCATCCTGGCCAAGAGGTGTCCCCACTGGGGCCCGGACATTGATGGCATGGGATTTGGGTCTCACAGGACAGGGAGGTATCTTCCATTGGCTCCCCTGCCAAACTCGTACCTGTTGTCTCTCCAACTTGATGTTTTTGGTTTGTAGGAAAATGGGTTTTCACTTAATCACATCTCCTTGTTCTCAGATCTGGGGCTTGGGGGGTCAGGGTTGCTGTGCCCTGCCTGGGTCACTTGTCTGGGGGCAGAGTTGGAAGCCCAGCCTGGCACACCTCTCCTGGGCCAGCTCTTCACGTAGGCAGTGTGTTGTGGAGGGCGGGGGTGCTTGGGTTCTCCGTGACGTGCTGGGTTGTGCTCTTCTTGGTCAGTACCAATCACTTCAGGAGTAACTTTCCTGATCCTCAGCTTTTATGAGGTTCTTAAGGAAAAAGCTCGGAAGAATGAAAACTCAACGAACCACCCCATTTCCTTACTCACAGCCCTTAAAACCAGAGGCTTCTTTTAAAGTTCCAGAAATAAAATTGTAAGCCTACATCTCCTTTCCCTCCCTCGGACTTGGTCCTCAGCAGCATCTCAAGTCAAGTCTCGGGCTGAGGAGGAGCCCATGTTGTGGACATCTGTCGGGTTCCTTGGGTACTCCTGGGCCCAGGTGCACATTCTTCTGTGATCACTGTACCCCCCTGCAGAGCATAACAGTGAATATTGAAGGAGCTCAGAGTTGACACTCAAACCCAGATCTTTCTGTTGTTGCAACTTGGGGGGCTGCATTTGGCCTCTGGGCCTCTTGGTTCCAGACTTTCCACACTGTGCCCATTGGCTTCCAATCCAAGGTTACTTAGAGGATGGGATGTTATTCTCTGAGGTCAGTGAGAGTGATATCTTATGACACACAAAGGTTGCAAGGGAGCAGGGGACAGAGATTAATCTAGGCACATGGGCCAAGGGTGGTCCTACAGACAAGGCCACCCCAGGGCTTTTGTAAAGCAGTGTGAGGGTGTGGAAAGAGCCTGGTTTTGGTGGCCAGTAGGCAGAGCTGGGGTCGGATCACATTCCCTGATTTCAACCAGATGATCTTGGTTTGTGTGTCTTCGTTCATAAAGTGGGCAGGTTTCATCAAGTGGAGCTCACAAGTCCCTGAGTTCCCACATAGAATGTTCTGTCTGGTTCATTGGAGAAGTACAATTGCAAATTTTGACAGAATCTTAGGATCAAGTCCTGTTCTGAGGTTAGTGGCCCGGTTTCTGTGTTAGAAACAGGCAGTCTTTGGATCCTTGCTGAGAGCATCTGGCCTGGGACATCCCTTGGGAACCTCACCATAGCATGGTGTGGTTGCTCCGTTGCTTTCCCAGGCTGGTCTGAAATCCCCCACAGGGCAGATGCAAAGGCACAGGTGTATCTGGCCACAGTTTATGTTGGCTGATGCTGTTTGGCTTTAGATTCACTCTCGTAAGATGGACATGCCAATTTTAGATTGTTGTGCCAAGAGAATTTAATTTTGTTCTTTGATTGAGGTATTGCATGCATCCTGAAGAGTACATACTTGCCACCTGGTAGATTTTCACAAACTGAACACATCCTTGCAGCTCAAATCAAGAAACAATACCTACTCCTGAGGCCCTCTCACATCAGCTTATTGTCACTACCTTCCCAGGGTAACCACTTTGACTTCTAACAGCCTAGATTACTTTTTCCTGTTTTTGTACTTTAAATAAATGAAATTTTATAGGCTGTACCCTTTGCTTGCCTTCATTCAGCATAACATTTATGAGATTTATCCGTGCTGTTGAGTCAAGCGGTTGGTAATTCATTTTCACTGCTGTGTAGTATTCTCTTTCCAGAATTTCTATTTGTTTTTTTTTTTTCCCCAAAAAACTGTCTCGTTTTTTCTTTGCTGTCTTATGACCCACTTTGGGCATGTTGAAGAGTAGAGAGAGCTTCTGGTTTCTCCTAGGAGAGAGAATTTCCTTTTTTTTTAAGTGGCTGATGAATTGAAATCACCAAAAAACAACTTTATTGTTTTTTTATAACTACTCAGGGATTATTTGCAGCATGCAGAGGCCGATAAAGGGGTAGCATCAATTCTCTCCCCCTCAACAGCCTCCCCCTTCCCATCCTTCTTTGGCAGTTTTTCTATCTTAGTCTTCCACTATGTGTGCTTTTTATTTTCAAAATAAGTCAAGGCTGGAGAGCCACTTCCAGCAGTGACTGAGAGAGATTATCAAATCCTTCCCCTCCAGGATAACTATAAAACAAGACAAAGCTGACCCCTATAACCAGCCATTTCGTACAACAATCTGAGACGTGTTTGTGCCTAAGAACCTGCTGGACTTCAGGTGCGAGTGCCAAGAGTCTGCCCCCCCCCCCCCCCCCCCCATGCCCTCTGCAGCTCCAGTAGTGAGGAGGTGAGCTGAGTCACTTTCCTCTGGCTACGTTCAAGATTTTCTTTTTCTTGATGGGTCTAGGGATAGATCTCTTAGTATTTGTGCTATTTGAGGTTTTTTTTAGCATCCTGGTCTAGGAGCTTAAAAAAAAATTTCACTCTTGGTAAGTATTTATATGAGTGTGTATTATATAATTCTATAAACTTAGATAGAATTTTTTATTTGATGTCTAAAAAGGAGGACAGGTACCCATTATAGACACTCATTTGTTGAATTAGTTTACCCTCTACCACCCACCTATGCTTTCCAGAAGTGGTTTTGATACAATGTGGTGCTATGTAGAAACCAAGAAGTTCCACAGACACATTAAGTCATTCTGGGCAACAGGAATCTACATTATCTGTTAATTCTGCTAAGAGACCTTGGAGATGCGTGATCTTAAAACCACACACCTTACTACTTGACTAGATGATTTATATCATCAATGTAAGACACATTATTTTGAGCCACTAAAACAAAAATACTACCATTTAAACTACAACACAATGCTTAAATATCACTGATTGCTCTTAGAGTCAGTGAAATATAATACTTTTTTTGACAAGCACAAATAACTACAATATTTTGAGGAAAACCATGTAAGCTGAGAGCACTGATAATTACTGGTCAAAGGAAGTCATACAAAACAGTTGTAATCAACAAGCTAAAATTCTATCCTAGGTGGAATTTTTAAAATGGAAATTTCAAGCAAGTCTTTCAGAGACAGGAAGCTACCTTCAAATCAGGATGTAAACAATTTGCTAATTAACAGCTTAAAGAGGCAATTAAATGGCAGTTAATAACACTGATGCATATGTAAGAGAATGTGTGGAATTATCACTTAGATCACTGCTCTTTTCCTCTCTCTGGACTGTATACAAATATCCCCTTCTTATTTAAATATAGAACCTTAACAGTATTTCTCAAGTAATTATGAGAGTCTTGTGCTTACAAATTGATTATATAGTCTTCATTAGTTATCTCCTATCTACTCTAATTAAAAAGCTATTTTTCTAAAGAAAAAAGCTTACAGTAGTTTCAAAAGTTACTTTCAGAGAACATTCAAATTGCAATTCAGTTTACCTGTTCTGTGGGGCATCTCATCGATTTTGAAGCCTGCCCATTGCAGCCTGTAAACTCTGAAGTTGTCTTTTGTTTCATGATTTTATTGTTTGTCCATTTACTGTGTTTGACTCAAATTTCATGCCCTTAATAATATTAAACTTTTTTTTTGTATTTTCCTCTCCACTGTTTTGGTTCTGTTTCCTTGGAGATCTCACCAGTTGGAAGAGACTGCTTATCTTTAGAGCATGCTGTTAGTGCCAAAATATCTTTGGATATTATTTCTTGTCCTAGAAAGACATATTAAAGAAAAAAAATGAAAAATACAATGCAAAATAATAGAGCAAGAATTCAAAACACTGCTTCTATGTGTTTTAAATTGTTTTCAATTCAAACCCTTCCCTTTTTGCTTTTTATTATTGTTAGCAACCATAAAGACAGCAATTTAACATTATTGAGCATATACTATGCGCTAGTCTTGCACAACATACTTTATGTGCATTTTCTCATACCCACACCAACTCCACAAAGTAGGTGGTATCTCCATTTTGCAGATAATGAAACTAGAAGCCAGGGAAGTGAAGTAATTTACCCAAAGCCATATATATAGCTCAAGGCTCACTAAGGCCTGACGTGATTTTGGATCACAGGTGTGCTGAGATACTGACCACTTGGGCCTTGGTAGTGGGCTGAGGCCTGGGTCTGCTGCTGCCTGTCTGCTGCCTCCTGCCAGTACCTCAGGGTTTGGTATAAACATAATTTTCTACATGTTCCATGACATTAAAAAAAAGTTGTAAACACTCACATGGTCAATAAATTTCAGTGTACTATTCTCAAACCCCAAACTGATTGCCAAATTCTTGCTCTTAACATGATATAATAGTATCTCTTTAAAAAGTCATAAACTATATGAAAAGCAGGTCCTATCAATAAAAAGAAGTTACTTTTTGAAAAAATTCCTGAGTGCTATTCTAATCTGATTGTTGAGCTACATGCCATTTAACCAATCGCCCTTTGTAAACTAAGCTCAAATAAAACAGAAAAAAAGAACATTCAGTGGTGTCTTGCCAATGGGTTTCAGCCCTGGGCAAGTTCGCTATAGATTCACTGTGACCAAAGAAATCCACAGCAAAACATTCTTGGAGTGAAAGTGTTATACCCAACTTTATTTCCAGGTGGCAGGTCAGTCCCTAAAATCCCGTTCACTCAGAGCAAGTCTTTATGCAGCAAGCTAATCTCTGCCTCTGGGCCTCTCAGCCCAGTCGGCGCGCACAGCCGTCCTCTGGGCCTCTCTGCACAGTCATCCCGCACAGCTGTTCTCTGGGCCTCTATCCTTGGCGCTGCCACCACTCCAGCCTCTGCTCTGCTCTGCTCTCCTGCAGCCTTGCAGACCTACCACCATGTCACGCCCAGAGCGTGACTCTTTTATATAGAGTCAATAGCCATGTATTGCCCACAGGTGTGCAGTGAGCTAGTCAACCAGGGGCAGGTGAGAATCTTGGCCACAGGAACTCTCATTTTATCCACAAGTGGCTAGAGCTGAATCTGCTGTTCGTTAGATAATTTGTGAAAAAGACCACCACAAATGATGGCACCTGCTTTAAACTCATGAAAAACATTTCCAAATTCTAAGTAAACCAAATATTTTATTTTTTGGCATTAAAGACCTTTGGTATTTGATATTTAAAAACTTTAAAAACTAAGGAATGTGTTAGTTTCAGCAAACGGGTATTATGCATAAAATGTCACTCATTAAATATAGTGAATATACACTGTGCATGACACTACCAGACACTGATGATATGCTAGTATATAATTCATGATCCTTAACTTTATGAAGTGAACAGACTATAGCACTGTTTCTTAAACTTTAATATGCAAAGGAATTACCTAGGTGTAGGGAAAATGGAAGCTTCATGGCCAGGATCCTCACCTGACCATGATCTACTGGCCTGCTAGCACATGCAAAGCTCACGGGTGCAGGCTTGCACACATGTTGGCAATGAACCGTTACTGGCCATGTTGCTATAGAAACACCTCCGCCCAGTACTGTGTGCGGAGAGCAGAGAGGCAGAGTCAGACCTGCAGACTTCCAGACAGATGTGCTTTTAGCACTAGGCCTGCCACCACGAGAATAAAGGTGGGTATAAAACCCTTTCACCCTCAACGTTCTGTTGTCATTTTTTGGTCTCACTGAATCCAGAGTGTACTTGCTGGGAGCTGAACTGTCCCTCCAGTGAGACACTAGGGGACTTGTTACAACACAGATTCTCCTGTCCCACCAAGGAATTCTGACAGTAGCTGTGGGAGGGGCTCACTTTGCATTTCTAACAAGTTCCCAAGAAATGCTGATGCAGCCCAGTCTAGGACCACATTTGAGGAGCTATGTTATCTATGTCATTTAATCTTTACAATCTTGTAGGGCAGGTTTTATTATTCCAGTTTTATAGGGGAAAAAAACTGCTCAAAGAGGTTAAATTGGTGGTTCTTAACCTTTAGAAGTCACATGAACCATTCAAGAAGCTTAAAGATTTCTGATATTCTTAGTAAATTTGGAATGGGGCCCAAGGATCTGCATTTAACCAAGACCCCAGGTGATTCTTATCAGTGAATCTCAAGACCCTACAACACACCCTGGGCTAAATACTATTATCAAGCAAAAAGTAGTTGTCATGCTAGGGGCCCTTTAATGAAAGACAAAATGGGCTATTTTTGAAAATGCTGAAACTATTTGGTCTGCTTATAAAACTCAAGAGGATGAAAAGCCAGCTGCATAACTGGCACCCTCACAATAGTGCACAGGATCCTCCTTACAAGATCATTAATATATAGCAAGACTCAAGTTAGGAAAATGCTCGTTACTGTATCATGTATGAAAGTTACACTAACATTAAAGCTATTATAAAGGAAAGGTGGTAGAAGAATCTCACATATAACCTGTACTTCAATGTTTCCTTCCAAGACTGCCATAGTGCCACAGAGAGTAACCTGTATTTATTATTGGAAAGCGTGTATAGGAAGTTAACTCCTTAAGACTAAAATAATACCTCCCACGTCACTGAAAGCATCTCACCAGCACTTCAAATGCAACACCCCGAAAAGCACATCCTAGAGCAAATTCGCAAACCCACTTCCCATGTTTTGCGCTTCTACTGGGGGTGAAAAGGAGGTATTTTTGTACTCTAAAATATAGGACATATTTTGAGAGCCTTCTCAAAGCTTTTCGTCATTCTATCATTAAGGGTGTACCCTAACCTCCCAGAGCAGCTCAAGTCCGCTCTCTACCTCACCTGACCTATTTCGCGTCTCGGCAGATCCGCGCCGCCTGGGAAACTCTTCCCCCGCCAGCTACTCCCTCCCATCGCCCCTGCTACCAACCCGCCTCGACGCTGCCCTTGACCGAACCAGCCCAACTCCTGCACAGATGAAAGGCGGAATTTCGTCTCAGGTGTTATAGTTCTCCGTACTGTCGACAAGGCCGCAGCTCCTTGTCTTGCCTGCTCAAGTCCAGCCCTTGACCTCCCCTTCAGGTTTCAGCCGGCTTTTTTCCAGGAAGAATACTCTGAACCTCTCCGGCCACGGTCAAGCGTCCCTGCGTGCTCCCCCAGCACCGGCTGCTGGCTTAGCAGGCGCTCTGCGCTGCCCACGCTCCTCAGCTCTGCTCCCTCCTCGCGCCGCCCGCCCGGCGCCCTTTGCCTCGGGGCCCTCGCGCACCGCGCGCCTTGGGTAGACGCCCGAGGAGGGGAAGCAGCCCCGAGGCGGCGCCTCCGGAGCCGGCGTCCCTCGCACACGGCTCCCGGGGCTGTCACGCTGCCCTCCGGGCTCTCTCCGCCCTCGGGCCGAAGGTACAGGCCCCCAAGGCCCCGGGCACCACGGCGCCCCCAGCGCCCGAGCCTGAGAGCGGAACGCACGGGACCAGACGGCGCAGCGCCGCGTAGCGGCAGGACGGCGGGCGCCGGGCGGGGAGCGCGGCCGGAAAGGCGCATCCCCGGGCAGCGGGCCCCTCCCCTCCCTTCCGTTCCGCCGCCGCCGCCGCCGCTGTCCCTGCTCGCAGCGCTCCGGCTGACAACGGGTGCCGGCGCCTGGGTTTCGGGTTCGCCCGCGGCCGGAGGCAGACGCGGGACGGTGGTCGGCCGGGAGACGCCGATGCGCACGGGGCCCGGACGCAGAACGGAGGGGCGGAGGGCGCACGGAGCAGGCCTGGAGACCCCCGAGGGGCCGGCAGAGCGATCCCGGAGCCTAAGCCGCGCGTTCCCCGCCCGCACACGCGGCGGAGGGCGGGGCGGCTTAATTCTACAAAGTTACATAATCACAGCAAGGATATGGAAATAGCGGGTTGCTTAATGGTCAAAGCAGTTTTACCTCACCTCAGTGCATTTCCTTCCCATAATATCTATCTCAGATTCATTTCTTACATTATTTCATTACTATGCTAATTCTAAGAAACATTTGATCTAAGTAAATAATACATCTTGGAAAAATCTAAGTGAATAATAGATCTAGAAGATTCAAGGAAGAGTTAGACATATTCTGGCAGTCTGCCACCTGCTGTCAACCTGTCCTTGTTAGTGAAACACAACAGGGCAAAGAGAGAAGCCCCTTCTCCCTGGTGGCAGGAAGGGGGAACATAAATGTCACCGCACGGGTGAGTTTTGTAGACATTGTGGCCACCTGCTTACACATTCATCAAAATGTTTGCTGCTTGCTTTATTCCATTTGCCATCATACTTGCTCTGTGCATATACTTCATATGCAATCAAACAATTTATATCATGTATTTCTCTTCACTCACTAGCATTCCCCAAATATGTGACTTAATTTCCCAGTATGCATGTTGCTCTGTTGTCTATTATATACCAGTATTCAGTGATAACAATATATTTATTTTTAGCTATATTATTTTACTCATACTATTTAGTTTCTATTTTATTTTCAGGGTTGGTAGACATTTTTGAATGCCAAGAATTTATCATTTCACGTTTCCATTTCATACAATCAGTATACCTTATGTGAAAAATAATTATTTTCCCTAAAACCAACCTGACGTTAACTTTCAATGCTTCTGTGTAGAAGAGTATATAAAACGTTTTCCAACAAAACTGGGAGGTACCATATATCCCTGCAATACAGTAGTTAATGATAATAACCACATAACTGCCACCACTGAGTACTAAGGGACTTCTGCTCTCATTTAACTTTCCGAATGACATGAGGATTTTACAATGTAAGGTAATTTGTGCATCACGCAGATGAATGACAGCAGGTAACGAGTCCAGGAACAGTCAATATTTGGAAATCCAGCTAACCTGGCCGACAGTGGCATTTGTTCACCAGGTTTGTTCTTTGTGAAATATGCCTTCAGAATAAGCCCACAGACCCAGCGATTTCAGCTCAACATGTCAGTTTACTTGTAACCCCAGTGGTACTGGCAGTTAAATTATTACAAACATCTTTCCAAAGACACTGGACCGACTGAAAGCACAGAAGGAGAGCATGAGGCCGGCCGGGTTGTGATGAGGCCTCCTGGTTCGGGTGGAGAATGAGTGCTTGTGATAGGACGTCATAGGTAACATTTACCTCTTTTTTCCACAGGTGGAGTAGGAGCTATTTTTCCTACAATGGGAAATTTTTATCTTCCTCCCTGTGTATACATATATTTCCAGCGAATGCAGTTTATAAACCAGGTCTGCAGGGAAAATGGAAGTTCCTACGGCCAGGATCCTCACCTCGCCCTAATCTACTTGTTGATGTAATTGGTCTACTGTGTAGACACCCACTTACACACCCGCCAGCAATGAGCCGTTACTGCCTCAGTCGATGCAGTAGGAGCTCTGCCCGGTACTCTGGGCGGAGGCGGGTTACAGACCTGCAGGCTGCTGGTGCAGACATGACTCCAGCATTCCACCTGCCGCCCTGATTACAAAGCCGCATAAATCCTTTCATCCTCAACATTCCTTTGTTGTTATTCGGTCTCACTGAATCCAGAGTGAACTTGCCTGGGCCTGAAACCCTCCAGTGAGACAAGGTCAAATTATAGCATCAAACTTTCTAAAAGAGATGAATATATGCATTTCTTTATATAAAATAAATTTGGATCTGGGGCATCAGTATAAATGGGTAACACTTATTAAGTGAAAATAAAGGCTTTCCCTTTTGAACCCAAAAGTGAGACCATCCGCATTTCAAGGGGCTGGCGACCTGGCCTGGGTCACAGGTCATTGGGTGATGCGACAAGCTACGCAAGGCGCGGTGCTAAGCAACAGCTCCCCAGGCTCCTACGTGGCCGGAGGGAGAGGCCTCCTGGATCACCACCCTGTTGAGTGTAAGGTTGAAGGCACTAGGGGGAGGGGGGAGCACGTCAGACACTGATGACGTGCCAAAGTCCCCGGCTGCTGTCCCCTCCCAACCTGAAAAATATGCTTTAGGCTAGCCAATCCTCGCGCCGCTGTAAATCTAAGCTCTGCCTCCCCCTACCTTCTTTAAAAACTCGCTGCCTGTCTACTTTCGCGCGAGTTCTCCGGCCTGTGACTGCCAGGCCGAGAAACCTCGCCCGGGGGCATTCAAATAAATTACCTGGCCCTTTGTTGCCTCTCTTTTCCTGTTTATTTCGGCTAGAATTTATCTTACATTGAGGTGTTCAGAGTCCAGAGCACGGCCGGGCGAGGGGCGTGGGGCGTGGGGAGACCTCTCCCGGCTGCAGCCCTTAGGGACCCGTGAGGACGAAGTGGTTTAGTCCCTTTCACAGGACATTGCCTAGATGCTGGCCTTTACCCCCACCGTGTGAAATGACTCATGTGCAGTGTGTTTATATGTAAAATTGTTTTTTATTTTAACTTTGTCAAAGCCCAGGATCATGCCTTGCTAACGTGTATTGCACAGCGTGATACATGAAACTTTGTCGAAACAGCGCTCAGCAAATGATTTCTGAAGTTGACGGAGACGTTTCCCGGCAGAAGTGCCCTGGGAACACATCCTGAAGTATCGGCAAGTCCCCGGGCCCGTCCCGACAGCACCATCCCCCCGCCCTCTGGGCTGCCTTCCGGCTGCCTCACCGGCCTGGCCCTGGTCGACCCCCACTCCGCGTTAGCCTTCTCCCGTCCCCTCTGTCCCAGGACAGTCTAACTCACTCCATTGTATGAAAGCCTAGCCTGCTGCTGCCCAGGAAAACTTAATTTGTAAAGAGCTTTTCGCTTCCAGTAGGAAGGCTGAGACTTCCCTTGCAGTTTCCGGGCGCTCCAATTTCGCCCTCAGGAAAGCACTCGGACCTCCCCGGATCTGACCCTTGGACGCATTTGTGATGTTCACGCGCCCCCTGGAGGCAACAGTAATCAGCTTCCGGGGAACACCCACGCGCGCGACAGGTGCGTGTGCAAGTTGGGGGTACGTGCGCCCCGTGGACGCGTGCACGAGTGGTGGGCGCGCGCGCGATGTGCATGTGCGTGTCGGGTATGTGCGCGTCATGTGTATGAGCACGATGTGCACTTGCACGACGTCTGTGTGTGTGTGCGCGCGCAAGTGTGATGTGCGTGTTGGGTGTGTGTGTGCGTGCGTGATGTACGCCATGCGTGGTGCACGTGGGGGTTCGGCAGGGCAAGGCAATATTCCCGAACCCCCCACAGCCCCAGGCCTGCCTGCTGCTCTGACTTCCCTCCCTACTCTCTCCTCCCCCTCGCTCGCTGCATTCCAGCAACTTGGGCCTTCTCTCCGATCTTTGTACAAGCACAACGCTTCGTGCAGGACTTGAGCTTTGCACGGAATATTCTTTTGCCTGCCTCCGAGATGGTCCCTTGATGGGCTCCACATCTTTCTAAAAGCTCAACAGTCACTTTCCGAGCGGTTCCACTCCATCCGGCTGCCCCTCCATGCCGTCCGAGAACTCACCACCACGTCAATGACCTCCTCCCTTCTCTCCGCGGATCACTGAGTGCCTGCAGTGGGCTCTGTCTTCCGTGGGATATACCAGCCTACCAGGGGACAGGCTGTCTCCTGGAGCGGACAAACGTGTCAATCCCATTGTTTACTTAGTTGTTGTCAGTCTCCCCCACTGGAATACAAGCTGTGTGAGAGCAGAGACCGTGGTCAGCCTAGCCCACTGCCTTATCCCCAGAGCCTAGAAAGATTACGTTAACTTGCCCAAGTTTATACAACTATTCATAGTAGAGGCATTTGCATCTAGGCCCTGTTCTCTACACCACTAGACTATCTTGTCTTACAAACAGCTCTCAGCCATTCATGATTTGTTCTACAAATATTTATTGACCACCACCACATGCCAGCTATTGTTCTAGATCAGCGGTGTTCAATACAGCTGAAGGCGATAACGAAATGTTCCCTGTCCTGCCCAATATGGTAGCCGCTCGCCATACGCTAATGCAACTGAAGCTCTGAATTTTTTTTCACTGTAATTAAGCTAAAGTTAAGTGGCCACATATAGTGAGAAGCTGCCCAAATGACGGTGTAATTCTAGACACTAGGGAAACATTGGTTAAAAGCAGAGACCCTTGTGGAGTTACATGCTGGGATGAAGGCAGAGGCGAGGGGAAAGAGAAAGACAGTAAATAAGAGCCATAATAATAAGTAAGTAAATTAGATAGCATGTGACATGCTAAAGAAAATGAAAGTACAGCTGAGTGAGGAGGGACGGGGCTGCATTCAAAAATAGGGCCGTCAGACCAGCCTCAGAAGGATATGGTACTTCAGTCCCACCCCATTTCGACTCCAATTTCTCTCCTCCTTCTCCCCATCCTGGTCCTGTTCAGCTCCTGGAGGATGGGGCCGTGTCCCGTCCAGCGGGACTTAGTTATTCGTGGGGACGAGGGGGATCCGACCTGAAAGAAAATGGGGGCGAGAGAAGAGCGAAGGCAAGACAGTATTCTGATCAAGCCTTCAAATTTTATTGTAGGACGGGGGTAGATATACACCAGTGTTCAGGGGCAGAGTGGGCCATAGGATACTTGGAGGCAGGGGATTGGCTGCATAGCAGGGGTGGCGCAGCGAGT